CTCCATCCCTTCTAGTCCCTGAATAAACAAAACAGTTTACATTTTTCCCCAGAATTTCATGCTGAATAACTAGTTAATTATACACTAAATGATACTGGTATTTATTTATAGGTCTTGGTCATTTTAAAACAAAAATACTAAAATCAAATCAGTAAATGCAAAAATGTCTTAACGGTTATGAAAGAGAAGGATGGGTTAACTATACCCCTGAAGAATGTTTTACTTACCCATAAATATGAGATGTCGGTAACCATATCTAGCCTATCACATCAGAACTCATAGGTCTGCATATCTACTGGAATACTATCAGTTGCAATAGAAATTTGACTGACCACATCAAAACACTCTCAAATTTCTGCAAGAAATTTGGAAAACAGCTCCTTGGCCGGCTGACTGGAAGAGACCCATATTTGTGCCCATTCCCATGAAAGGTGATCAACAGAATGTGGAAATTATCAAACAGCGAGTGAAATTTGGCTGAAATTTGCTTCCAGTTCTTTACGGGTTTGTTGAAACATTTCAGTTGGTGTTTCATCAATGCCTGCAGGTTTGTTGTTGGCTAATGCCTTCAGTGTAGCTTGGACTTCTTTCAGTACCTTTGGTCCTTGAGCTTGTAATGACTGCATGTTACGTCAGCCGATTCTCTTTGGTGCAATGCCTGTGTTCTTCCCATCTTCTTGGTTGCTTCCTGCATGGTTCAGTATTGTGCCTCTGACCCTCCTTCAGTTCTTTCAGCTCGAGGTTTGCCGAATGTGTTCTTCCTTTTTGGTGTTCCGGTTCCAGGCCTTTGTGGATTCATTCCAGTGCCATCCTTTCCATTGTCCTCTGAGCTGCCCTGGACACGTTCTGTGCGCTCTGTAACCCGCTCGTTTCACCACGTATTCCTTTTAGGGACTCTATGTCCGAGCGCAAGTGTCAGGCTCTTCCGACATCCCTTTTGGCCTTTTGTTCGTTCCTGTCTTTTTACCGGCCGTTTGCTCTCTTCCTGCGTGATGTCCATGATGCGAGCCCACAGCTCCTCTGCTCTCTGGCCACGAGTGCGCTGTGTGACCCACCTTCTCTGGAGATGGTCTCTAAATTCAGGTGAGATACACCCAGGGTTGCTTTTTGGCTTTTGCGGACTTTGATGAAGCCCAGTGTAGCTGGGTTTTGTTGCTGTTCATTCCCCTTTGCTTGCTTGTGCTTTGGTGTCGTATCTAGACATCATTGCCTAGTTTAAGGTCACAAGGACGTATTTCTATGTCTTTTCCTGAGAATTACATAGTTTTAGCTTTGATGTTTACGTCTTTGATCCATCTTGTTATTTTTATATATGGTGTGAAGTAGAGGTCCAAATGCATCCTTTTGAATGTGACTATCCAGTTGTCCCAGCACATTTTTAAACACTGAGACTTGTTTTAAATAATTATTTAGATATTTGATCTCATTTAATGATCACATTAACCCTAAGAAATCTTTATCATTATTATCAGCTCCATTTCACGGATGTTGGCGTTGAGCTTTAGAAGCTAATTATCTTGTCTAAGATCTCATAACTAAAACATCAGAACCCTGACATTTCAACGTTTAATCAAGTAGAATGGTTGCTTAGGAATTAAGTGGTCGTCTAGAGTTCAAGAACATTGTGGAACTAATATGTTTTGAGAATAAGCCCCCAAATGGCCGGATATTGTGTTGAGCGCTTACATTAATCCCTATTTTTTTTTAATAAACTGGGTCATAATGAAAACATCATAAAATTCAGTCATTATTACAATCGATTTAGAATATTTCCCTTTTTTGGTTATTAGTTGCCCCTTCCCCACCATAAGGAACCCTTAATTCAGTTACTGTCTCTGTAGAGTCTTCCATCCTGGATTTCAGATGCTGATAAACATACAAAAATACAACACAAACTCAAAAAAGCTAACAACATAACAATAAAACAGGAAAACTCAGTTGCAAAGTCATTCCTGCCCTTATGTAGTGCTGCCTGATCTTTCTAGGGCCCTTGACCAAGGATTTTGGGATTCAGTTTGTCACCAGGGTCTGGAGCAGCACGGACTTAGAGAGCTCCCCGCCACGATGGCCGTGCCCTTTCTGTAGTTGTAGTGTCCACTGTGCCATGTGACGCAGCTTCCACGACCCAGGGAATTCATTTAAAAGGTTAACCAATTTACAAACGAACACTTGACATGTCTTTTCGGGCACATAGGCCGACAGCCAGTGTGGGCCTTCTGCCCTCTGACACAGTGTGAGTCCGAGGCATCCAGTCCGGCCGTTTTCTGGTGTTTGCGGCACGTGAGCGCACGGGCCAGGCAAGGGTGACGAACGAGAGCCTAACGCCAATAAGCAAAGGTCTCTTTAGTAAGAACGTAGTGGCTCTGATGTCCCAGGCAAAGAAGGACCAAAGACTTGGATTCCGGTCCACTGTCAGTCCAGGAGATGCCTGCCCATCACGCCCCGGATTCCCTGCATGTGATGTGGACTTACAGGAATTCTTGTCCTCTGGGGGCGGGCGTGGGGTGTCTACGAGTGGTAGTGAAACAGCATCCCCCTCCCTCACCTAATAAAAGCTGCCCTTCCGGGAGAGGCTCAGTGTATTTGGAAGAGAAGCACGGGCTGTGAATCACACTCGGTGTGGAAGTGAAACCCCTCTGATTAACCACCGGGAAAGTGCCTCCCCCTCATTCCTCTTTGTGGTTTCTCCAGTTCTGGACTTCAGCGATCCCTTCAGCACCGAGGTCAAGCCGCGGATCCTGCTCATGGGCCTGCGGAGGAGTGGCAAGTCGTCCATTCAGAAAGTGGTCTTCCACAAAATGTCTCCCAACGAGACCCTGTTCTTGGAGAGCACGAACAAGATATGCCGCGAAGACGTCTCCCACAGCTCCTTCGTCAGCTTTCAGATCTGGGACTTCCCAGGGCAGATCGACTTTTTTGACCCGACTTTTGACTACGAGATGATCTTCAGGGGAACAGGAGCACTGATATTTGTCATTGACTCCCAGGTACAGCTCAGAGGCTTGGGGGGTGGGGGGGTCAGGGGGGTGGGTAGAATCCCCAGCTGCTCAGACAGGCCCTCCCCTTGTTAAGACAAGTTCATCTGTGATGGTTTTGGTTTTCCTTGTTTAACATCCAGAACAGGCCCTTCTGCCAAACAAGCGTTTCTCAGCCAGGACTCTCAGACCTGGCTAAGGAGAAGAGGCTCCCATCGTCTGGAAGCATCAAGGACCCTTCTTGCTGTGTGTGGTGGTGGTGTTCTGAACCTGGAGACCCAGTGTGACAGTGGACTCCCCTGTACCCTTTGCCAGACTGCAATCTCGATGAGAGCAAATCATCAGGTCTTTTCTCTCAGGGAGAAAACCACTGGGTGGGTTTGACAGCTGACTTTTCTGTTAGCAGCTGACCCCTGAACTACTGCAGCATCAGGGCTCCTAACTGACCTTTGGGGAGCCACTTAGATCTCAGAGTGGATGGAATAACCCAGGCCCGTGACAGCAAATAGGTGTCAGCCCCCTCTGATAGACTGGCATGCATCGATGAAAGGTGACAGCTGTTCCGCAACAGAAGGTGCCCTAGTGGTACAGGGGCTGAGCACTTGGCTGACCTGTGGAAATCCCCCAGCCTTTGCGTTCAGCCCATGTGGCGGGTCTACCCCGTCCTGCGAGACAGCGATGGCTGTGGGTCTCAGCAGCTAAATGCATACAAACTTATACTTTAAAAGGTCTAGAATTTCTTATGAAGAAAACATTTTCTAAATGAAAAATGTTCTTGTAAATCCTATTATTGAAAAGTATTGCCAGAAGACAGTTGATCAGATAGCAGAACTTGATTTGCGTTTTCATAGATGATTATTAAAGGCAAAAAAGGGGAGATGTAATTTTCCCTGTTTATTTCATAGGTCTATGATTGAATAAGACAGAGCTTGACATCAATTTGGCGGGATGTGTTTGTTTCGTATAGATGTAAGCACTGAGAAATGGGTTCACTTAAATAGACAGGGGCTGTGGGTGAGTTTTGCTTATAGCATGTGCTTAATTATTGAAAGTCTTTCCGGCGCATAGTCCCTGAGTTGCTCAGTTTCCTATCACAAATACCAAAAGCTTATCAGCAGATACACAATCAGGTCTTCCAACTTGGTAGACAGGGAAGAATTGGAAAGCCCTTGTCTTGCAAGCACCCTATACCCGGTCTTTAGAGTGAGTCTCTCTATCCCAGGCCTCCACACCGGGAGTGAGCGTCCAGTTGACTGAGTGTGCCTGAAGTGTGTGTGTGTGGGGG